GCCCTTTGCTCACTCTTACCCTGTTGATATATGTAAATCACCAACTGATTTAGAAGATGGGTTTTATGGCTTATTTCAAAGATTATCAGAACACAGCTTTCTCAAACAATATTTGCAATTGTGGACATTCAGTTTTATCTAACAGGTTGGGATAAGTTACTGTCTTACCTCCATTAATGCTTTTAAAATCAACATTTTTTCCTTGTGAGAGACAAACTGACAAACTTTCCTGCATTTACTTGCAAAGAGTGGATACCCATATCTCTGTTCTGAGGTGCCCATGCTCCTTCTACTTTTTCACATTGGATATAATGTTAGATATAGGATTGTGGCTTCTAGCATACTTTGTACTGAAGTATCTTCTTCCTACTCCCTGACTCTAAAATCTTTCACAATGACCAAATATGAAAATTTACCATAGATCTTTTATGACTACATTAAAATCATCACATTTCTTCTCTCAAATCTAAAATTTGCTGTATTATATGGATAAATTTGTACCTGTTAAATAGTTTCATTTTTTATTAACTCATCATTATAGGGAAATATATATGGTAATTCACTTATCATTTCTGCAAACTCCAATTGGATTTTTCTATATGAACTAGCTTACATCCCTGCAGGAATTAAAACAAGCCTCTTTGTGCAATTTTCTTAAAGGATTTTGTGACCATTTTTTTTTCTGTTGTTTTTTGTTTGTCTCCCTCTCCCTTTCCTTCTCCCTCTCCCTCCCCCTTTCTCTTTAGTGGAAGGCTTATTATATAGCTGTTTGCTCATCAGAAACACAAACACAGAAGGTTACAAGCAAATAAGTTAAACATTTCTCTGGATGCTTAGCGTTGAGAATAAACTGTCTCCAGCAGACCATGCTCCACTAGGTTTGGAGTTTGGTTTGTTCTGATTTGATTTGATGTGTTTGAGTGCTAAGGCAGCTTGTATGTTTGTGCAATAAGTATGTCTGATGAAAGTAATAATGAAAATGATCCCATGCTTGGCTAGTTTCCAGTATTTGGAACCGGAAGCGAGGTGTAGTGGGCTGAGCCAAGAGGAGACTGTCCAAGGAACCAGACTGAAGGAACCGGAAATTCCGCCATTTCCTATTGTACTCGGAGAGCCTCCTGGTCCAGAACTGGGTGAGGAAAGCCAGGACCTGAAAATTCCCAGGATTTGCAGTTTCCACGAGGGGCGGCCTGGGAAAGTCACAGTCAGCAGCCCTGGAACCTCCCAGGTCAGAGGAGCTGTGGGGCTGGGACCCAGGAGGGAGGGGAGCAGGGCTGTGCTAGCTGAGGCTGCTCAGAAGGACACTGTCAGCTCCAGGCCCGCCTGTGGTGGTGTAGGAGGTGGCAGTTCAGGTCATCACCTGTGGAGAGGTGTGGTCATTCCTGTCACCACAAGCTGGGTGCTTGCTTCCCTGTGAACCAGGCACATCCCTTAAAAGTGTTGTCTGTCACAATTCCTGGTTTGCTCTCTGACCAGATCTCTTTCTTGGGGTCTCCATCTCTCCTGACCCCACTCTGAGGCGGCCTTTTGCTCTTTTGCTCATCCTCTTCCCACAGTTAACCTCTCACCCTAAATCCACTGCAGATGACATGTTCACCTAGTGGTCCACCTTGCCAGCTGCCAGAGGTATGCAGCTTTGTACAGCTTTTTCCTTACAGACATAGCTTTCAATATTCTGTTGTTGATAACTTTCCATTGATGGTAACTTTGAGTTACCCTGAAGTGGGTACTGCTCTGTGTTTCTTCTCCCCCCACCCATCTTATGGTTGCCAGACTATTCTGCCATTAAAATAAATCTTAAAACAATCTAGTAGAGCATTTGCATTGTCTGTTGTTTGCAAACAGCATTCTCTTTGCTATGGTGGCAATTCCAGAGCTCCTGCAATTTAAATTCCTCCATGCTTCTAAAACCCCTGTTTTACCGCTTGCCTCTTCAAGACAGTGTCTTTTGTCCCCGAGACTAGGCATGCTGTGACATCTTTGTAGATAATAATCCTACAAGGAATCAGTGCGGATATGATAAAACAAAATATAGTTCATGGAGTACCACACATATGGTTGTAAGCATTAATCAAACATTTTACATCCCATTAATTTTCCATCAGAGACATTTGCAGTCTAAGTTGTAAATACAGCATTCAGAAATGTGTCTTCATATGCTGTATTCTTATGTTACATCTTACATCCAGGCAAGCCCAATGTGCATGTTGTTTGAATTTATCATGCCACACAATTTTTAAAGTTAGCAAACTCACTTTAGATGAAAACAAAATTGTGAAGCATCTTTTGAATATTTATATCCAACAGTGGAAAGGCTACTATCAATACCCTTTACTGATAAAAAGATTGATGACTAACTTATCCACCATTATAGAGCCCTTTCTAGTAGCTGATGGAAACAGAAGCAGACACCCACAGCTAAACACTGAGCCGAACTGGAATCCAGATGCAGAGAGGGAGGACAAGACCAGGCTACAGAAACCCTCAGAGACAGCTGACCTGAACAAGGGGGAGCTACTGGTCCCCCAGCCTGATAGCTGGGAAACCAGCATTGGACAGATGTAGACCCCCTGAACATGGGTCTCAGCTAGAAGGCCTGAGCAGTCTAAAGGACCTCAGACAGTGGAACCAGGATGTATCCCTGGTGCACAAAAGGACTTTGGAAGCACATTCCCCATGGAGGATACTCCTTGACCTAGAGACAGGAGAGAAGGTCTAGTCCTTACTCCAAATGACTTGACAGATTTAGATAATCCCTCCTGAAAGGCATTACCCTACATGTGGAGTGGGGGGGATGGGAGAGGAGGGTGCTGGGGGGGACAGGGGAGGATGGGAGAGAGGAAAGAGGGAGGAACAGAGGGAGTGAGGGAACTGGGATCGATATGTTAAAAAAAAAAACATGTAGAAATCCTTAATAGAAATGGGTTAATAATTAAGAGCTAGCCAATAAAAAGCCCTAGTTGTTGGCCAACCGGTTTATAATTAATAAAGTTTTTGTGTATTCATTTAGGGCTGATGCAGTAGTGGGACCAGACTGGCAGGAAGAGTGTAACAATGTCTGTCACTGACAGTTTTATAGCTCTATAGTCTTTTGTCCTTTTCTAGGCTTCTCTGTTACTCCTTTAATTCAAGAAAGAAAGCAGCTTTCTATTTGAGCTTTCAAAGTATCTACATTCTGTATGTGTGGTAACTTGATAACTTAATCAAGCACTGCCATGAATCTAAGCCTGGAGCAATCGAGTACAAACAATCTTTTCCTTTTTATAGACTCAAATGCCATTTCTCTAACATAGTGATTCCAACTTTCCTAGTGTTGCAACCCACATAGAGACAACAGGCATAGTATCTCAGTTCCTAAAACCATTGACAATGGCAACCACCATGAAAAGGGTCTTTAAATCACAAAGGGCTCACAAGCCCCAGTTTGAGAACTGCGACTCTATTATCAAGTCTCTGTTTACAGTAGGTTTGGAGGAAAAATCCATGGGTTCAGCACATGTCTAATGAGACATTTCCTGGGAAGGTGCAAAATGCATGTGCATCTACTCAATTGAAATGGAAACTGAAAGCAGTATCAAGTCCAATGTTTTCTGTCAATGAGCTTTATTGGAATTAAGTACAGGAATATGGAGAAGCAGTCGTTTACCAGAGCATAAGGGACTCAAACACAGTTGCTATCATGAAATTAAAAACCAGCACGTAATATAGCTTATGAATTATGCACACATGGAGCATACTACATATCTGTAGGCATATTTCCAAGTTAAAGAGCACACTATTTTGATGGGTAAAATCCACCTTTTCAGGTGCATAACTTGTCTGAGTTTCTACATTTGAGAACACTGAATCATTTCAGTTTCAGGATTTCTTCAAAATCTTGTGCTTAATCAGCTTCCTTTCAGATTATATCATTCCAATGTCCAGGTAACTATAACACAACAGCATATACTTCAAGTTCCTCTGCTTTGTAATCATTATGAAGTATTTGAGTTTGAACAACTAAAAAGTATTAATGAAAACTGTCCTCCATTTTTATATATTCAAATTTGTTTGCATAACAAACTCTAAATGTTTTTCTATGATTTTTAACATAACCTATAGGCTTTCACAAGTTTTTCATGTTCATGATTTTCTAGTGTGGAATCATAGTGTAGCTAAGAACAGAGCTTAGTTAAAACATGACATTTTTTTTTCCATGAAAACTTTTCTGCTGGTATGAATTTTCAGATCTTTTCTTAGAACTGAGAGGCAGGTAAAGACTTTTCCTTATACATTTGTAAGTTTTCTCTTCAATATAAATACTCAGGGCAATGTTTTTTTAGATTAAAGGTTTCTCATACTATCAATTATGGTCTTTGAATAGATATTGTCCCTGTGGATTCACATTTAAATACTTCACCAATCAGGAATGTGGCTCTATGTGGAAGTGTGTCGCCAGGGAGGCAGGGACTGATGTCTGTAACATGCTCAAGCCATATTTAGTATACAGGTCACTTTCTCCTTCCTAAGGATCAGCTCCTTCTCTAGTAGCATGTCTTTCTGCATGTCACTATGTTTCCCATAATGAAGATAAGGGACTAAATTTCTGAAACTGTAAACCAACAGCAATTAAGTGTTTTCCTTTAAAAGAGTTGCCATGGTTATGGTGTATTTTCAGAGCAATACAACCCAAACTAAGATAACGACCACTGTAAGGGTTTTCTTTTGAATGAGTTCTATAATGTACTCTTAAAAAATGAGCAAAAATTAAAGGATTTCTCACATTTGCTACATTTGTAAGATTTCTCTTCTGTATGCATTTCCTGATGTGTCCATATCATTTTCCTATAAGTTTAGAGAATGCACCTGACTGTGGCTCCACAACCATGCAATCAGCACCCTTTTGCTCAAGTGGAACACTGGTGGGAATTCTAGTCTTCCTGCACTCACTCTGCCATAGTCACCATATGTAGTTTTTAACTAAGTGTCTACTGTTTTACTTACTGGCACAGACTCAGGAGTTAGATCTGGGGGTGAAAACCTGCAAGATCAGCAAGCAAGACACAACCTGTTGACCTTTTTCTTTGGCTACAGATCCAGAAAGAGAGTGTCCCTACAACCACCTCAACCCAAAAAGAGTGAAAGACTCTTAAGTTATTACCTACTCCTTCCTGTGTTTCTATCTGTCTCTATATCATGTGGCTATTTCCTATCAAGTACTTCTAGACTCCAACCCTGATCCAAGTTTGATATTATTAACACTCAGGTTTCAGAGTCTAATCAAATATCCTGCAACATATTCTGAGAAAGGTTTTGTCACATTCAATGCTTTCTAAAGTTTCTCAAATGTATACATTCCAAGCTTTTCTTTTTGTGTAAAGGATCTCTAGCACTCACCACATTATGTAAGGTTTATCACCTATATGACTTTTCATATGTCTTCTAAGACAACCGAAAAGTTTGCCACATTCTCTACATTAGTAAGTCTTTCTTCTTGTGTGAATAAGCTGATGTTTTGTAAGAGACCCTTTCTGGGTAAAGGATTTATCACATTCACTACATCTGTAAGGTTTCTCACCTGTATGTGTACTCTGATGATTTCTAAGATGGCATTTCTGGGCAAAAGATCTGTCACATTCAGTACATTTGTAAGGTTTCTCTCCTGTATGTACTCTCTGATGCTTTATAAGATGGCATTTCTGGGCAAAAGATTTGTCACATTCAGTACATTTGTAAGGTTTCTCTCCTGTATGATTTGTCTGATGAATTCTGAGATTGCATTTATGGGCAAAAGATTTGTCACATTCAATACACTTGTAAGGTTTCTCTCCTGTGTGGACTCTGTAATGTTTTCTAAGATTGCATTTTATGTTAAAGGATTTATCACATTCACTACATTTGTAAGGTTTCTCTCCTGTATGTATTATCTGATGTCTTTTGAGAAGAGAGCTTGTGATAAAGCGTTTGTCACATTCATTACATTTATGAGGTTTTTCTCCTGTATGTCTTCTCTGATGGATTCTTAGAGATGAGGAACGAAAAAAGGATTTGTTACATTCATTACATTTGTAACGTTTCTGTCCAGTGTGTATTCTGTAATGTCTTCTAAAGTTTGATTTATGAGCAAAACATTTACCACATTCTGTACATGAGTAGACTGTTTCTCTAGCATGGATTTTGTAATGTACCTTGAGTTGTAAAGAATGCAGAAATGATTTACTACATTTTGTACATTTATAAGGTTTCTGTCTAATATGGGTTCTCTGATGCCTAATGAGGCTGGAGTGAGTCTTGAAGCATGTTCCACATTTCCTGCATTGGTGTGGTTTCCTCCCACTATAAGTTTCTTTCAGTGTCATTTCTCTTTCACAGACAAAAGATTTATCAGACTCTGCATTTTTGTGTTCTTCCACGCCTGTGTGATCATTTTTGTGTTCTTCCACGCCTGTGTGATATCGTTCATTTTGGCTAATGACAGAAAACAAATTTAAACAGGTCACATAGTCTTCACATTTGCGAGGTTCTTCTCCAGCATTCCCATTTTTGTGTCTGTTGAGATTTAAGGTTACGACAGAAGCATCTCTGTGTTTTCCAAATCTGTACTTACTGTAATTTTCTACAGGATCACTTGTGTCATCAGGTGTATGAAGGCAGGATTCAAGAACCACTTTGACAAGCTCACTACATTTGTAAGTTTCCTCTTGGATACTTGCATGATCATGGATAAAATGCTCTGTCTCCTCATGCAAGACCTTCTCACCCTTAAGACATATGTGATGGTTCTCTGAAAAATGAGTACAATTGTGATTAATAGCAATGAATGCATGAGTAACAGATTCAATACCTGATGTCTTCTTAGGTTTCTATGACATATAAACTAGTAACTTTTAGGGACAGAACTCCTAACAGATGAAGTTTCTGTTTCACATTCACTAAATGGATGCTCATGAGAAATTCTAATCTGAGCTAGGCATTGGTGGCTCATGCCTTTAATCCCAGCACTCAGGAGACAAGGCAAGTAGACCTCAGTGAGTTTGACATCAGCCTGTCGGCCTGGTCTACAACAGCTAGTTCAAGGACAACATCCAAACCCACAGAGAAACCCTGCCTCAAAAAAAGACCCCCCCAAAAAGACCAAAATAATCTGTTATCTGATATATATCAAACCACAGGACCAATAGTAGTGTACTCATACTTTTTCATTTATTTGGTAACCCGACTGTAGGTTCCCTTCCCTCCTCTCTTCAAGTTTCCTTTCCCTGCCTCCCCATTGTGCTCCCTTCGATTCTTCCTCTGTTAGTGTTCTAAAAGAGGCAGGTCTCCCATGAGTGTCAACAAAGCATGGCATATCAAGTTGAGGTATATCTAAGCTCCTTCCTTTGTATTTAGGCTTGGGAAGAAACCAACACTGAGAAATAGTTCCCCAATAGCAAACCAAAGCATTAGGGAAAGGCTTTGACCCCATTGCTAGGAGTCCCACAAACAGAACAAACTAAATGTCTGTGATACATATGTAGAGAACCTAGGTCATTCCTGTGAAGAGCCATCTCATTCTTATGTAAACACTGTCTATGATAAGACTCATATGTGTTGGGGAAGGAAAGAACTTGAGAAAGAAGCACTGTGAAGGATCATATGGCAATATTTCCACATTTCTTATGTTTTAGAGACACTCTCATAACTTGCAACTCATAATCCAGAATAGCAGGGAATTCAGCATGTATTCTTTCACCCTCCAAAGTGTAAATATTAAAATCATGTTGTGCCAGTACTAAAACACAACAATCTTATTTTAAAAATAAACAAACCAACATTCTCATAATTAACATCCCTTTGTCTAAAACCTTTTGCACTGTCCATAATAAGAAATAGCTGAAGAGTTACATCCAGTAACAGAAGGGACATATTCTAATTATGATAAGTACTATAATATACTTCCATGTCCGCACTATTCAATATTCTTTGATCTTTGATATGTTATTTGTATATTAGATAGGCGGGCTAAAGAGATCACGGTGAATATAGCATTTGCTACTCTTCCAGATAACACAGAAAATATAAATGAAGCACCATTAAAAAGTTGTGCTGGTAAGCAAAATGTCCCTCATCTCTGGGATTTTCTAGATTCAGAGAGTTTACAGATACACAAAGTAGGGAAATAAAAAAGATGAGTATGGAATTCTATGAAGGGAATTCTTACCCACAAAAAGTAGATTGTTGTAATTCTCCAACATCACATCCATGTACAAAGCTCTCTGAGTATAGTCTAGACATTCCCATTCTTCTTGTGAGAGGTCCACAACCACATCCCTGAGTGACAACACACCCTGCAATGGAAAATTAATTATTGAGCATTCATTGCTTCTCAAAATGATTTCTTGAGTAAGGAGATCTAATGAATTAGAGAGACGATTTTGATATAGATGAGGGATGGAAAGTTTTAACTGACAAGAGTTTTCTATAAGTGCTGCATTGCTATTCCCTCAATGACAATGTATGGGAAGACATAGTACACTGCTTACATCCATTGGGTCTCTCTCCTCCAGGAATTATCTATTGGTTTCTAAGACCCAAGTAGCATAAAAGATTTGCTACAATTCCTAAATCTGAAAAATTTGTCTCCAGGTGGCAGTGTATAATGCCTTAAAATCCTTGAAATTGAAGTTTTATTCCCAGCACACAAATGGCACTACAAAACAGAATTTAATCTCAGATCCATGAGATCCAATGCTACAACTTACAGGCAGGAGACATGCCTAGTACAGACACTTTCTGGCAAACACATAGAAACACATCAAACAAAAGCACAATTTAATTTTAATAAAAGATACTTTCTAAATATTCAGTCTACTGTACTTTTTATCTCTGTGAAAACAAGATGACATTAGAGTCTTGCAGTCAGCAGACTTTTATGGAATATAAATAACATCCACATTTGAGTTCTAGATGCAGGAATGTACCGTTATAAAGTATGTCCTGACATCAAGCAGAATCTCATTGTCCCGTCTCAGATGGTATAGTTATTATGAGCAAATGTATGCTTTGAAATTGTATAGCTGTGGACCCTTCTTAAATATGGACACCAATGGTGTCTGAAGTTAGGTTCAATTGACTCTATTCCAAGATGTTCAGTTCAGATCCTGAGGCATAGGTACAGTGCTGAACCCTGCCTAGAACAAAGAGGTAGAATATGGAATGCAGAATCCATGGTTGAATTAGATTCAGTTTCTCTTTGAGAATAAGGAGTGTAAAATCATTTCATATACCATATGCTCCAAACAACATACAGAATAAAAAACTTTGTGAAGCTAGTTCATGAGGAATAGTTACCATGAAGTAAATAGAAAAGGAGAGTTAGACAACATGTTATTTGAATTTCCGTAAAAGTTGACACAAACAATCCTGAAAATAACTATTCCATAAATTCCATTATGGGGTAATTAAGGCTATATATGTAAATACAAGCATATGTGGCAATGTATTCAGGTAAAGAAAAAAATTATTTTTTGTTATCACATAAATGTATTTAATAGAATGAGAGACATTGTAACTCTTCTAACAGGACTATAGATAACTATCATTTACAATTACTCATTTATTTTTCAAAAAACTAGAATATGCTGTGTTAAATAATTACACAAGTGTACATCAATCTCAAGATATGTCTCAGAAGTAAAAGTCACTTGCTATTCCTCCAGAGATACCTAGTGATGGGAGATGTCATTCTGTAAATATGTTTCTATTATTGGTTAATGGACAAAGCACTGTTGGCCAATAGGAAAGAAAGATAGGTGGGACTAGGAGACTAGGAGGAGAGAGGAAGTAGTAGAGAGGAGAGTCAAGATGGAGGATAGAGAGAAGAACGCCAGCCCCTCTCTCCAGTAAGATAAGACGACGTGGAAGTACTTAGGTTAATAGAAATGGGTTAATATTTAAGACAGAGCTAGCCGATAAGAAACTAGTAACTGGCCAACAGAATTATATCTAATGCAATGTCTTTGTGTGTTACTTGGGGCTGTCGTGGCAGTGGGACCAGACCGCCAGGAAAACCTACCCATAACAACCTAGTTTAATTCTCTCTAAACACATGGCAATAACTAGAATGTTTGACTGCAGTGCCAAGGGTTTGGTGCAGACTTCAGGGAACCAGGGGCATAATACATTCGTACAATGTCCGTAAATATATGCAGACAAACCCTTATATCCTGAAATATGACACAACTATTCAAAATTTCTCCGATGTAAGAAAACCCTTCAGTGAGAGTTAAAACATAAGCTAGAGAGGGCCTTCTTTCTCCAAAAGAAAAGATAAATAAACAGGGGAATGCATTTATGATTGAAAATTTAAAGGCTTATGTGTAGCACCAAGTCAGTAATCCCAAGAAAATTCTTACTAATATATTCCACAAAATGCCATACAAATGTGGAGACACCAATGCTCTTGTCCCTTCTGAAAAATGAGACAAAAGATAAAGAAAAAATAAGAATTTCCTAAAGAGAGCTACTCACTGAGCTTTGAACACAATCTCTTCTAAGACTCATACATTTCCAGTGTCAACAAACCCCTCATCACTGTGTGACATAATATAGCAAAAAGAGAAACCAGAATAGGGCCATCTCCTCACAAACACGTCAACTTTTTAGCAACAGTAGCCACATATTACTTCTATCATCTGGGCTCTCTAGGATGCTAAATTATTTATCATTAGGTTTAAATACAGTGAGTCTTTTATAATTCTACTTTTCTATAGCTTGCACAGTGATGTCAGTGTAAAGTTCTATGTGTTGGCATATCCATGTTCATAAGCCTATTTCTGGAAAACTGAGCACTCCAGAAATGGAACTATGTGGCACATGAGTCTGTCCTTCCTCTCTATTATAAAGAACACAGATCCATTCTATATAGAAAATGGACATCAATATAGTCCTTCAGTGTTATTTACAATAGCTTGTGATTTAGAACTTCAAGTCTAACGTCCATGGAAATTCATAACTTCATAGTATTAAATCAAGCAAAAATATAATGGAGAGTGTCTCTGCTATATAGTTGAAAGGTTAAAGTTATAATCTTGAATACAAGAGAAAATAGATGAATAATGCAAAATTAAACACTTTCAATAACATTGCCAGTGATTAAGATTAAAAATGTAAGTGGTTTCAATAATAAAAGCAATTTTCAGAGAAATGTGGACATGTCACTAACCTGGGGAGCATTTACTACAGAAGCATTCATTGTTCTTGTTGCTCTTCTCTGAGTTTCAGGAAAAATAAACAAATAAAGCTAGAATTCTTGTTGAAATTTTTATCTTGTTGTCGAAGATAGAAATCTGAAAATAATAAAAACTCTGTTATGGTCAATTCCATACCATATAAAAAGAGCCCCCCCCAAGAACAATTGTTGAAAACTGGCATTTGCTGACACCACATACTAAGGATGGGTAGAATATGCATGCCTAGCATGGCAACATCATGGCTATGTCAAGGATTCAGTATGCATGTGTATGTAGGCTTGCTCCTTTTAAGTAAATGCTTCTCTGTCTTCAATCTCTGTATTCTCTCATGCATGCTCTCCTCTCTCTCTTCTCTTCTGTTCTGGTGTCTCTTTGTTTCTTTAATTTTCCCCTCACTCCCCTTTCTAATAAACTTCTCACTCAAGCTCTTTCTACCTGGCATGTTATTCCCTGTGCTTCGGTCACCCTCACCTGCATGGAACCCACCATGTTAAAACACAAAGAAACCCCTCCAGCTTTCTCCCAAAACTGTAACAAAGGAGCGACATTCGTGCTATGACTCAGATAAGCTCTCTCCCTAAGATCTCCCAATGCCTACTGTCAGATGGCCAGAGACTGTCAAGGATCCTGATCTTAAACCAATATCACAGGTTCATCTCCCTGTTCGCTGGCTAAGATCTCTGGTACATTTCCCACAGGTGAGTTATATTACCACCCTCAATGAGCAGTACATTTGACTTTCGGCTTTATGCCTCTCATTTGACTTTATGACTTGGCTTTTCGCCTTTTCAGACTGCTAGTCCTATCAGGCATTTTGCCCTCTGGCATTGCTTTCCAGCTGATGAGCTTTCAACCAATTAGCCATTTCTGCTTATTGGGCATCTTGTTCTTGGGTGCATTCTTGGGCTGAAGAGTTCCAAGAGCGAGCGGCCATTTTTTTTGCTTCACCCATGGGAAATAAACCAAACAAGGAGCTAAGCCCATCCAATACTCTGCCAGTGGACAGGTAAATGAAAGGAGTTACCATCTATCCAAGGTTTCATCTACCTGTCTGCTAAACAATCTCTTTCCTTAAACTTGTCTGTTTCTCTCCTCTTCCTGGCATGTTAAAACTTAACTGCCTGCTGCAGCTGTAGCCTGTCACAGAGTGGGAACCTCCCTCCACCTAAAAATGTCCTGTTCTGCTAAACATCTTATGCTCCTATTTGTTCTATCTCTGCTGCCCTTCTGTGGCTATATCTCAAAACTTTCTAATTTCCATTAGCAGTTAGAACCCTGTTTATGGCAGCTGCCATCTTGGCCATGTGGCCTAGCCATAAGTCCACTCACAATCTAATGCTCCTGTTCAAATTTCTCTCTCTCCTGTTTGGTCTATCTCTGCTGCCCTTCTAGTCTGCTTCTTCTCCATGCAGATGCCAGCGGCTCACAGTGAGCTGGCCTGAGACAGCCTCTGCTCAGGATGCTCTGAGAGTTTCTCATTTTCTACCCATAAACGAGGCTTTCAGGTTTTTTTTATGCAACATAAATTTAACTGTGGGTGGAAAATCTTTCTAAATTGTTATGTATCTTCAAATGATGGTAAACACTTAAGGCTATAAAAATGTACTTCAAATTTACAAAATATTTTGCCACCCAGTCCTTCCTGTAGGCTGTTTATAAAACTTAAGCTTCTACTACAAAAGGGAATTTTCCTCTACTTCTTTGTCTTTTACAGATGTAAATCTAACCTACTAAGTTAAAAGCAGTTACAGTCAGGCTGGAGGGCTTTGAGTAAAACATCCCTCCATAGCCTCTCAGCTTGGCTCCAGTTTTCCAGACATTAATTACTTACAGGGATAAAGCCTTACCTAGCCACTGATGTGCTTAAGGCAAATAACTAAAGACGAATTTTATCTGCTGAGATTATATTAGACAGACAGTCTTGAAATGCTCAGAGCTTTAGAGAATACTACATTTAAAATGTTTTATTAAAAAGCTTGTATAACAGAGACAGGCCAGCTGCAAAGACTGGACACTGAAGAAACTCCACCCACAAAAGTAGCAATGCTAGGCACTGAACAATTCTGCCTTTCAAGTGCTACAAAAGACTCTTAAGGACCATGGACAAGAGGACAATGGAATCGACTTTCTCCGCGTTGCTTAGGCCAACAGTAGGTAAGTCTTCCAAAAGCTCCTAATCCACAGGTCTCAACTATCAGCAGAACATGACTGTCCTCAAAGCCTCTGACCTGGGGGTGGCTGTCCATGCAGTCAGCTAGTAAGTCTCTTACTCTTTAATCATTAATTCACGTAAAAGTTTATCCTTCTCAAGAACTCCGAGGCTTTTGATGACTGGTAGCATTGCCAGCTTAAAGCAGCAACCAAGGCTCTAACTGTTACAAAACAGATTTCAGCAATTGGTGTTTTAAATTTTATCTGTATAAAGAAAGGAAAGTATAAGATGTATGAAAGTCTAAGAATATAAGTTATGAAGGTATGAGAAGAAAGACATTAACAAGATGGAGAAATGCAAGTTAAGTGTAAGTTCAATATTAAGATGCTTTTCATTGTGCTAAAAATATCTATCAATTTTAATAGTGTTAATGCTTCCAGCCAAATCATTTCTGACATGAGTATGCTGCTGATGTGCCTAATATTTATGTTTTCAAAAACTCAAATGACTCTTTGGGAGCCAAATTGGACTTACCCAAACAGGTCAGATTCACTCCAAATAAATATTATTCAACCTCTTCCTGGTTCCGGGACACCCTTTCCCTTCTCTTGGAACCACTTCGGGGACACCTCCCTCACCTTAGAATTCTCCCCTCAAGTACCAGGCCCTAAGAAGAAAAATTCTTATTCTAAACCTAACCTTGTCCTTAACTCTGCCAACATTTTGCCAGGTCTAAAGCAGTCCTAGAGTTCCACACAGCCAAGACTTCGATGAAGCAACCACAAAGTCCAGGAGGTGGCAACACCCAGGTTTTCTCAGGTCCCCCAAAAATGACCAACGCCCCCCTCAGGTCAGCAGGAAGTAGTCTTGAGAACTCGACACTTGACATTCTCATCCCCTAACCTGCCACAGTAACCCCCCCCCACCCTTTTAATAAGAGGAGGAAACATTGGAAACTGGCATTCTGCATGCCATGCGTGGCCACATCATGGCTATGTCACGAGTTACAGGGCTGAGGAAGGACTGAGTACACATGTGTAGTCTTGCCCTCTTTAAGCAAGCAGTTCTCTAACCTCTCCCTCCCTCTCTCTCTGCCTCCTGTTCCCAGTGTCTCCATTTCTCCTCTCCTTCCTCCACACTCCCCTTTCTAATAAACTCATCTGTCACTCACGCTCTGTCTGCCTGGCATGCTATCCCCTCTGCCTCAGTCATCGTCGCCTACTGTGGAACCCACTTTGCTCTCCCATTACTTTGAACCCACCTTCTCCAGCTTTATCCTAAAAATGTAAAAAAAAAAAAAAAAAAAAGGATACCAGAACAACATTCCTACCACAGCAGAACATGGGAGGAGACATTTACAGTGGTGGAAGAAAATGGCTATGAACAGTATCACTGTATCGAGAAACATGGTCTGTTAAAATTCATGGAGAAGGAAGAACATATAAAGAAGGTTAGAAAGAGACGAAAGTCATCAATTCAAGCTGCACTGTAGATCATAATTAGAGGCAATGTAAACACAGAAAAATCAGAGATAAATTAACAAAGGAAACTCAGGAAATAAGGCATTTTACAAAATGCATAGATGAACAGGAGAGCTTGGAAGTACAGGATTATTTTCAACACACAAAACCAGAAAACTACTATTTCTACCTAGAAGGAAGAAAATTATTAACCCTAATTTTACTCACAAAAGTATTAGAAACAAATCATGAATAAAAACCACATGATATGAAAAGGCCAGTAGAAAGGTATGTTATAAGACAAACTTCAAGAGATTTTCTGATAACTCCTAGATGAAAAATAAACTGGAGAAAACTGTTTGTTTAGTAATTGTTGGGAAAATATACTTCCTGATTCTACAAAACCTGCAGTGGTACCTTATGTGACTAATATCTAAAAAGCACTCAGGGAATGCCTGAATGTCATGTGGAAAGACCACTCTTAATTAGCCCAGTGGAAAAACAGAAAAGTTATAAAGAATGGATGAATTCAAATCCCAGGAACTGGATTGCCACAATAGCAGAGGGACCATGTGTGCAGACAATTACATGTAATTCTCTAGCAGATCTCGCTTCTATAAATGTCCTGGCAATCATAAGATGAGTTGATAACATCATCATAGCAGACTCCGTGTTCTAAAAAGCAGCAGTAGAGAATGGATAACACCCTTGGTCCTGCTCCTGCCTGTTCCCAGCACTGACTGCAGCTCCTCTGACCTGGGAAGTCCCAGGGATGCTGGGGCATCTGCTGTGGCTGCTACAACTGCCCAGCTGAAGGGTGTCTTTCCTGAGGTGGCCCTATTGACTGCTGCTGGTGTGATATGAACTCTCTGTTCACGTTTGCAAGGCATTCAGTGTTCTGATGATATTACAATATAGACATAGCTTATCTGGTTTCCATATCTGTCACATGAATGTCATTACTTGCCTGATCCCACAGATGTACCTGCATGCAAAAAACCTGTACAAGATTAGCCAAGCTTAATGTGCAGCAGTGTAGAAGGGATCATCACAAACCACCTGCCAATGGCAACACTTAGCCTTTGAAGATAGAGTCAGTATTTTTAAGAGATGTAGCTTAAGTATCTATGGCTAGGCTGTGATGGACTCAGTACATTTTTAAAAAATTGTGAGTATGCAGATGCGAGAAAGCGTTATGATAGTGGGTAATTAGAACAGAGGGAGAGGGAGTGAATTTGATTAAACACAAGACACATGCATCAATGAAATTCACAAAACAATAAAAAAAATCAGTACGTACCACTGACTTGCCATTAATATTTTCAGTTTGGCCTTTTCAAATCATATGTACAGGCTCAACACTTACTATCATATTAGCTGTGACACCTCCATGTTCTTTTGTGTCCTGTCA